CCGAAAAGTTCGTTAACAGAAGCGTTCATAACCCGAGGTTCCACTGTACTAAAGTTCAACTCAGGCAAGACTGTTTTTCTTTTTGCCTGAATTGGAGTGGATAGATGGGTTAGTTTTTCCTCTTTCAGTTATTTTTGCATTTGCTCTGACATATTCAGTGGTCCCATATTATGTTAATTGATTGGGTAATTTGACCCCCCATTGGACTTGGCATCCTATTTCCAATGGTCTCAGTCACAATGAAACTTAACATCAGAAACATTTGTTAGAAAGTTGCGGGGAGAAGGGGGATAAAGCCATGTTTTCAAAATTGTTGCAAGATCTCCCAGGTTTCCCAAAAGCTACACATTAAAGCGAAATCCAAACTAAATGTGGTTTCATCCTCAGCAGAAAGCTTTGGATGAAGCCAAAAAGTGTTCTAGTGATTTATTTATTTGTATTTATCTGTATTTCAGATTTCTCACCGCCCATCTCGTTGCAAAGTGACTCCGGGCGGTTTACAGTAAAAATAGAATAAACATTAATTAAAATAGATTATTAATTAATTAATTAAAATATGCTAGAAAACAGACTTCCTATAAGATACTTCCAAGAGACTGATGTTAATTAGGTGTGAATAAACTCAGGGAGTGTTGTCAAGGCGCCAGCCATCCCCAGGTTCAGTTGCATCTTTCCTTGTCCCCCACAAGTTGGCAGAACCAAGTCTTCAATTCCCTCTGGAAAATTGGGAGGGTAGGGGCCTGCCTCACCTCTGGGGGGAGAGTATTCCATAGGGTGGGGGCAACGGCAGAGAAGGCGCTCCTCCTAGGACTCACCAGTTGACATTCTCTCACCAATGGGATCTGCAACATGCCTTCTCTGCTGGACCAGGTGGGATGGGTCAATGTAATGGGGGGTGAGGAATCTTTCAAAACGGAACAGATTTCAGCTATTCCTCAACTGTCACCAGGTCTTTCTGATGAACTTTGCCCCCTTCGTCTAAGCAGAGTTCAGCCAAGCAAGTCTTACTAATAGTACCCCTTTCTCACTGAAAGAGGAAAACTAAGGAGGGAAGAGAAATGAGAGGAAAGAAGCAGTTCAGCCTAGTCAGCACACCTGAAGTTGCCATGGCAACTGTAATTCTCAAATCCCACCAGGACCTGCACATTAAAACCCACCAGTGCAATACGTCTCTACGTGAAAAGGCAGGAATTAATTATCATTGTCTTCTGGAACAAAGAGATGCCCTGGGTTAATGAGAGATAATTAAAGAGTTTTAAGTATCATGCAAACATTGCTTTGAAAGGTGAGGAAAGTTCCACCAGCGTTTCCTGTTGGTCTAGGAAATATAGGATGGTACTTTTATTTATTTATTTGCTTATTTATTTGTTTCATTGCTTTATAAGCTGCTGCATCTGGTGAAGGGAACAAGAATCAATTTGCTCATTGGCACTAGAATTTGGTTGCCTGCAACGCCTTGAGTCTGATTTTTCTCTTCCTGAAAAATCTCCGAATGTCTCTCAACCTTTTGACCACTCATAGGTCAAACTTCTTCATGGTGTGGAAGGGAATATTTCACTATGGCTAGTTATCTTGAAACGTGACACCTGCACATTTGGACTAATATCAATGTCTTCATAAGGTAAAAGGATCCTTATGGCTAAAAGGCGCTTGATGATCCATGTTTATTCCTTATTTTAAGGGTTCCTACAATTGCTCTGAGAATAAGGGATTGAGGCCCTGGTTTATGACACAAGGACAGCCTCAGTGGCATTAGCATGAATGCTAGGGATCCAAATAACCAGGTCATTTCCATTCATCCTTTAGAATTTGAGTGTATCTAGACACAATTACATCCGGTATCATGTTCAGGAACTTCAGATCTATTGATGATCCATTAACTTAGATTTATTATATTAAGCTATTATTTATGTGGGCTGGGTTTTTTCATGTTTGGGTGGGGTTTACATAGAAGAGATCCATAAATCATGATTAACAAAGTATAACATCTGGGTTCACAAACCAGACCAACCACATTTTGACTTAGGTCCATCTGTGAACCCCAGCTATTTTGCCTTTTTAAGCACCATAATTATGCATTAATTTTTCCCTTTAAAAATCATATCCAGATGCATATTTTCTCTCCAAATACAGATTAAATGTAACACAACCCAAACAAAAGACGTAAGGGGCCACCTACTGCAAAGAGTCCAGTCATTCATCTGTGACCTGGCAAGGTTGAATAAAACCTGAAAGAACATTCTCTGTAAACTTCTCACCACCACTGAAATCCAGGTTCTGATGAGGAGAAGGAAGGAAGGAAGCGGGAAAGATACAGATCAGAGATTGTCCAGTTAGACTTACTTAAGCTTCATTCAGGGCAGATTCGTTTGTAATAATAGACTTGTTCCTTGGGGTTCAGTGAACCAGAATGATTTCTTTAAGCTCCTGGTAACCAGCCAGCCCCCACCTCCCTGGTTCTCTGAGCTCTTTCCCAAACATACTTCATTGCTCTTTTATTGCTTCCTTAATTTCTGCCCACCCTTCATCTTAGTATCTCTGAGGAACCCTTTTCCTCTGATTCTTTCAACAGTAGCTACTTACAGATTTTCGCAACCAGGTTTAAAGTTCTTTGCTGCCCCTGTAAACTCATTCTAGTTTGTATCAAGATGGAGACGGGTCTTGAAGAGCTGGCAATTCTTATTTTAAGTCTGGATGTTTTTCCTCAAGCATGCTTGCTGAAATATATGAATGCCGAGATACATGAAGAAGTAGCAACTAACATCTCCTGGCTGTTTTTGTCAAAAGTCATAACAATAAGTTCCTCTGGTTTGAACATTTTTGCTGATGCCTTCTTGTTTCTTCCAGATGTTTGTCAACCTTCTTTTAATTTCCTTTGCATGCTATAGCTGATAAATGTTGGCATCTACATTTATTATTTAAGATGAGCTCGACTTAAAATGCCAGTATTTCTTTTTATGGATGACCATAAACCTTCATTCAAAGATAAATAGTAAATGTCTATTCTTCTCTAATAATCCAAGTGATTGTGTTCAGTCCCTCTGTATCCCTGTTAGGTGGTGCTCCCAAATTATCCTCTTAAATTGCCAGTCTAATCTGTAAAATAACAGATGTTCTGCTTCGTTGCTGTAACAATTCCATCATGCCATATTCTGCAAAAGGATGCTCAGTGCTCCAACTAGAATGCTGTTTTGATGCAGAAGAGCACAAGAGATGTTTCCATCTTGTTTGATGAACCATTTGCTAAATCCAAGAACTTGTAACAAAGTCCATTCCTGCCTGACCATCTGTGCTAGAAGCAAGCTAGATGGAAGTCAAGGGCCTTCTTCAGTTACTTAATGAGCTTTTGGGTAAATTACAACTGGTCTGAGCAGATCTGCATTAGGACTGACTAGGCTGTATACTGACATAGGATTCATAGGAATTATCCAAATGAAGGCTGTTGCAAGATTTTAAATGCAAGCATGCCAGATGTTTAAAGATGGTTAATTAAAATGAGGGAGACCAGCCCTCTGAAGCACATAACCAGGCTAAGAGAGGACAATGTTGCCTCAAAGTAAGCAATGCATGTTGACTTGGAATTGGGTTTTTTTTTCCTGAAGTTGGAAGAGACATTAAACTATTGGAACAACTTTGGAAAAATATTTATTATAGTAAGCTGAGAACATTCTATTGATCTTTCTCCCTATGATATAGAAAATGAATAGAAGGAACCAGCACAGCAAAAGATGTCCCACCTGGTAACATTTGAAGAATATAGGCAGAAATCAGATCTGATACTGAAACTATTTACTTACCTACATACTGGGTGTAACCTCCAGGAACAAAGTTCAGAAATTGCTCTTGGCAGTACTCATTTGCTTAGCCCTCTCTGCTATGCTAACCAAGCAAAGAATATCAAAAAATCAGGACTCTGATAGCAACTTGTCTGACTAACACATTTTATTAAAAGGCATAAGCTTTTGTGAGCTGCTTCTGATTTTTTTTTTTTTTTTTTTTTTCCCCCATAGACTAACATGGCTCTCCTCCCACAGTGTCTACAAGCAAAGAGTAGTGACTGCAATTTGAGCAACCCAAACTCCATTCACACAGGGCATGGCTGGTTCTATCTCCATCCATCCATCCATCCATCCATCCATCCATCCATCCATCCATCATCTCTCTCTTTCTCTCTCTCATCTATCTATCATCTATATGTCTGTCATCTCTCTCTCTCTCATCTATCTTTACCATCTATCTATCTATCTATCTATCTATCTATCTATCTATCTATCTATCTATTGTCTGTCTGTCTGTCTGTCTGTCTGTCTGTCTATCATCTCAGAACTTCTGCAGTGAAGCTGAACAAATGTCCCAATGTCTAAAGGGGGCTTAAAAGTAGTGAGAGCAAGGAAAGGAATAACTCCAAGGGACTGCGGGTCTCTGCTAATCAAAACCCACAATAAAAATCTGGCATGTTTACACAGGAGGAAGGGAGCCAAGCCAGGAAAATTGGGACGCGAGAGAGACTGAAGAAAAATGTAGCAGAGCCTTCTCCTTTCAATGGATGATGTTGGTGGTGGCTGAGTTTGTTTCTGACTCAAATCTCTCCCTGAATAGAGGAGTCCAGCTGTCAACAACCTGGGGACTGTTGTTTAAGGAATTCCTCTTTGGCCTCAAGATTTTGTTTCTTTTGGCCTCAAGCTCTTTCTTTTCTCTTCTGATGTTGAATTCATTTCCTCTGGTGAGAGGCAGATGGGATGGCAATGCTGCCAGAGGCTTCGTTTTTCCCTGGTTAGGTAAACTCCCCTTTTGCTGGTTTTCAATAAAACCCTAGCAGCTGAGACTTTTATTCTCTCACTTCTAATAAAACCCTGGGATGACAAACTGCTTTGTCCAGGCCAAAGTCATTCTTGATTTCCCATGATCTTTAGCATCTCTGATAGCATTGAACTTAATGGTTGGAGAGAGCTGGCGCTTGAAACGTGTGATAATTCCTCAGTTTGCCTCTTTTTTTAAAATATATTCCTTTTGCCCATTTTTCTTTCTCCTGCAGAATTTTCTCACTCGTTCTGTATTCACTCTCTACAATGCTTAAATTGCAATTATTATTATTTAAATTTCTTGGCTGCCCAACTCTAGTGGGCAGCATACAAAACTAGGGAAAACAGAAAAACAGCTAAAAAATATAAGGACTAAGAGAGGTCAATGTTGCCTCAAAGTAAGCAATGCACATTGACTTGGAATTTCGGGGTTTTTTGCTGAAGTTGGAAGAGACCTTAAACTATTGGAACAACCTTGGAAAAATATTTATTATAGTAAGCTGAGAGCATTCTGTTGATCTCTCTCCCTGTGATATAGAAAATGAATAGAAGGAACCAGCACAGCAAAAGATGTCCCACCTGGTAACATTTGAAGAATATAGGCAGAAATCAGATCCGATACTGAAACTATTTACTTACCTACATACTGGGTGTAACCATTTGCCTTTCAAGAGCTTTGAAGATGAGCCGATCTCTGTCACTCTTTTCCTTTGCCACTGGATTTCCAAAGATCTGTTTCACCCTCTTCCGGCATGAGCCATAATTCTCATTATTGGCTAATCAGTGCCTTTAAGCACCCATTCACAGTTCCAACAGCCTCCTTTAAATAAGAGAGCAAGCTATACAGTAGGTTTCCTCATATGGTGAGCTGGCCTTGCGATGAATTCTCTTGCTCTTTCCTAAACCCCAGAACAGCAGCTGCTGCAAAACATTTTCAGCAAAGTCCCCACCCGTAGAAAGTAATAAATGGCCCCGGATTGAGGTGCTGAGGATAATTAAGTCAAGTCTCAAGTCAGAATTCTGCATGCCGTCAGTGACATTGCCCTAACCTAGAAACAGACCAGTGCTGCGTCTTGATCTCTTTGGAGCAGTGTGGATGGGCAAAGGGGCAACAAGGCCTGTATGGTTTGCATGGAAAGAGTGCACCAAAAGAGCCAGCCCCCACTCATGAAGTTCCCACGTGCAAAAGCCTATAGGGGTCAGAGAGAAAACGGAGCACTTAAACCCTGGCAGGCGGTTTGGGGCACGTGAGCTTCACGTACCGCCCTCCATATTGTTTTGATAAGGTAACACTTGAAGGTTGTAGAGATTACAGAGCTGGAGCCAGTCAAAAGCATGGATTTTCAGCTGCCTGTTGCTGTCGCTGCTACATGAAATTGGTATTCATCACACTTAGCCGTCTAGACGCTTGGCCTTGTCAGAGGTTTTGCTGAGCTCCTTAGTGGTTCGGGTGACATGCACGCAATTATCTTCACAAAGCAGGATGCAACTGATGACATCCACACTGGCCAGCTGGGTCTGTTTGTACAGTTTTTTCCCTCTTTCCTTCTTTCCTGCCTTTCCTCCCTCCCTATCGCATTTCTTTCTGAGTTGGTTGCTTGCTTATTTATTTATTTATTTATTTATTTATTTATTTATTTATATGTATGTATGTATGTATATATATATGTGTGTATAT